TCATCCTCATCCTCATCCTCATCTTCTTCATCCTCATCTTCTTCATCCTCATCCTCATCCTCATCCTCGCCCTCACCATCACCATCACCATCACCATCACCATCACCATCACCATCACCATCACCATCACCATCACCATCACCATCACCATCACCATCACCATCACCATCACCATCATCACCGCCACCATGGTCATCATCATCATCATCATCATCATCCTCATCATCATCTTCCTCATTATCATCATCATCACCATCATCAACTCCTACTCTTACTCCTAACCGTACTTCTACTCCTACCACTTCTGCTGCTGCTTCTGTTGCTGCTGCTGCCACTACCGCTACCGCTACTGCTGCAGCTTGCACTGCCGCTCCTCCTCCTCCTCCTTCCCTTCCTCGCTGCTCCTCCGACTAGGACATTTGACGTCATAGGACGATGACGATAACGATGACTCTTACTCTTTTCTGTTCGTATAGTGGCTACTGTTCTGGAGTCTGCCGCAGCTGCCCGTCCTGACTACCATGAATTTAATTTTCGTTTGTGAGTTCCGCGATAGGCCACACCCCATGCGGGAACAGCCAACATCCTCAACCTTAAATCCAAATCGGGCATCGTTTCTTCAGACGGAGGCCTGTGCAGCTCAAGAGAAGAGCTGCGAAGGGTGGAGCGCTAAGCTGGATTGTGCTCGTATTTGATAGTCGCAGTTCGGAGCTCTGTCGGAACATTGGCAACAACACCAGTCAAAGTCTAATAAAACGGTATTAGCACGGTGCATGTCCCTGATGATATTAGCTGTGCAGAAATTGCTCATGAAAGAACACTAAGCAAAGCGATGGTTATTAGGAGATACATGGGCCAGTTCGAGAATAGGGGAATAGGGTGTTCCAACTTCAGTTGGCTTCGAACTTAGGGAAGTGCAAAACCTAGCACCTCGAGAAATTTCCCACCTGAAGCTTCGACCCTTTTTTATAGAAACCGTACCAAGAGAAGTGTTTCACATTTACCTCAGAGGTACGTGTTCAAGATCGCGAAGGTAAGCCTTGACTGGCACGGTGGCTCCTACATCACAGGCAGGGTCTTCAGAGATGCCTTTTTTAAACCTTAAACCCTACAGCCTAGAACCTATCCTCAAAACGCTACAGCCGAAACTCAAAGCCCTAAGCCCATTTTTCTGCCCATCTTTGAAACCGCAAGACTGAAACCCTCGATTCCAGACTTGCAACCAAGCTTGAACTCGAGACCTTCGAGCCCTGCGCCCGGAACCCTTAACCTTAAAATCTAAGCCCCTCAAGGCCATAATAGCATGAACCTTAAAGCCTAAATCCCACCCTCCTGGTAATGGAAGCCCGGAGCCCGCAACCCAAAACCGAGTGCATGGCTCGGCCGAATGTGTAATACCATCACGTAATAGTCCCCATATCAATATGTTCCTTATCTAATATATCCCGAAACCTTATTCTACTTATCAAGGGTTGTACAGGAAGGGTTCTGGATTGGAGATGCCGGCTCGGACCCCGAACGCAGGCCTATAGAGGCGCCTAAAAACCCTAAACCCTAAACCCTAAATCCTGAACCCTAAGCCCTAAACGCTGACCAGGCCAGTGCTCGGTGGTGAGAACCTTCAAAATGCAGCTGGAGCCGGAGAAGCCCGGAGCTCTTTCTCCATGGGGACTGGAATTATTGGACAGCATAGTATAGTAATAGTGCAGTGCTTCATTTCCAGTATCCCACCACATGCCTTTTCTACTTGTCGCTTTGCGTCTTGACCACATCAGATGGAGGGTTCTGCAGTGTAGCTCGTAGACATGGGCGGAAACAAGCACCGAACCGCATGACGGTTTTTCGAATGCACCTACTTGCTCGACCCAGGCCAACCGTGCCGGCCACCCTACCGACAGCACCTCCTGCACGCTGGCTCAGAGTCGGATGTTATTCGGTTTTCGTGGTGGTCTCTGTGGTCCTCCTAGTCCTCTTGGTCGCGAAGGTGGTGGCGGGGCCCGCCGTCGTCATTGTTGTCGTCCTCGCCGTTACAACAACATCAGCATCACTTGTCATCAGCTTTCACAATGCTCTGCTGCTTCATCCTCCGTCACCGTCTCCGTCATCCTCATCATCCTCACCGACATCATCATCATCATCGTCATCATCATCACCGCCATCATTACCGTCATCATCACCGTCATCATCATCGTCACCATCCTCATCGTCATCATCATCATCATCATCATCGCCATCACCATCATCATCATCATCATCATCATCAACAGCGTCATCATCATCATCATCACCATCATCATCAACATGATCATCGCCATCATTATCAACACCATCACCATCATCATCACCATCACCATCACCATCAGCATCATCCTCGACATCGTCCCCAGCTTCATCATACTTTCATCATCATGGACATCGCCATATTCATCTTCTTCTTCGTCATCCTCGTCGTCTTCCTCATCCTCATCAGTATCGTCATTGTCGTCATGGTTGTCTTCGCTGTCGTCATCGTCGTCAGTGTTACCGCTTTCGTCATCGCAATCGCCACCGTGATCATCGTCATCATCATCATCATCATCATCATCGTCACCACCACCATCGTCGCTGAGGTTGGTCGTCATCTTCATCGAAGTCGTCATCATCGTCATCGTCGTCATCACCATCATCATCATCATCATCATCATCACCATCAACATCATCAACATCACCATCATCATCATCATCTTCAGAATCAGAATTAGCAACAGTTGCAGCACGGTGATCGCCATAGTCCTCTACAGCTTTATCTTCACCCTGAACCATGGTTCCGATTTACTTGTCAGGACCATCATTGAAGGGCGGGCGACGTGACTGCCTCTTTGACAAATCCTGCACCAAGCCGTCCTAAACCCGTAATCCGTTTCTTGTCAGTGAAGCTTCCTTGCAGCTTTGAGGTGCCGACACTTCCCGTGGCCTTGCCGACGCTGCCACCGACTCTGCCGCCGGCACCCACGCCACGTCCGCAGCACTTGACTCATGCAGTGATGAGCTGCACAAAACACTATAAATAAAATGCCCACAACACCATGGAAGGCACCCTCCGTCCCGATAAGAACCCTACAAACAAGCCTGGAGAGAATCCCTGTTTAGAGCCTGAGGCTGCCACCTCTGACACTGACAAGACGGTTGGAGCCTTCAGAACATGAGGCCCAGAAGGGAGGTTCCTCCAACCGGCTGAGGCTTCTCAAGTTTGTTTCCTGAGGGGGTTTAGGGTTTAGGGTGTAGAGTTTAGGGGTTCAGGGCCTAGCAGCTGATCCCAGACTTCTGAAGTTCATGCGGCTCGAACCTGCTCCCTCTAGGCGGAGAGTCTCCTCTTCGGTTGCGCGGAGCCTGTGAGACTTTGGCTGCGATGTTTACCAGGCTTCGGTCTTCGGGCTTCGCCTTGAAGCGGGGTGCCTTGAGTAGCTACCTTAGGGTTTCGGGATTTACTCTAATATGCCCACCAAAAAGTTATTCTAGCTACCCTAGCTAGCAAGGCTACTATATTGGCTTGGGGTTCGTAGGCAAGACAGAAAAATTGGGTCTGGCAGATCGCACGTACATGCTCATTTGCCTTTGCATCAACCGCCACTTCAACAGTGTCCACGACAGACAACACTCTCGAATCCCCATGTTTTGCTGCAGTTTTCCTTATCCGATTCAGCACTGGGAACTGAGGAATTTCAGAAACAGCACCTTCACGCATCTTGTCCGCAGAAGCGCTTGTCGCAATTGGTTGTGGGTTCTGTTGGCCTTGGGCAAGTTGCGATCAAACTCAATCACAGCGAAAAAAGGTGGTGAGGAAATAGTGACAATACTGTAATTAATGACAGCGGAAACAAGACTAGGAACAATACAACAACAGCAACAACACCAATGTTGTAGCATTACGTCAGAAAGAGAATCTCAGATTCCTTTTCCGGATCCTGTGCCATAGGGGCAGCCAGAGGCCCCCTGAGCAAACTGTGCCGGGCAAGAGTAGAGGGTTCAACCTGATTTTGAGCTTTCGGCAGCTTTAGCCCTAAACTTGGTCAAACCCTAAACCCCAAACCCTAAACCCTAAACCCGAGAATGAGGCGAATTACAACTGGATGGGTGTAAATGTGTGAGAATACAACCGGGGGTCTTTGAGGCTTTATTTGAGATTGAAGGGTCCTTGAGGCTTTATTTGAGATGTAAAGGGTCTTTGAGACTTTCTTAAAGGGTCTTTAAGGCTTTTCTTAACGGGTCTTTGAGGCCTTAGAGGCTTTCTTAAAGGGTCTTTGAGGCTTTCTCAAAGGGTCTTTGACACTTTATTTGAGATGTATAGGGTCTTTGAGGCTTTCTTAAAGGGTTTTTGGGGCTTTCTTAAAGGGTCTTTGAGGCCTTCTTAAAGGGTCTTTGAGGCTTTATTTGAGATGTAAAGGGTCTTTGAGGCTTTGTTTAAAATGTAAAGCGTACAAACCGAAATAATCATGTTAAGTATTGCCTATATGCCTTTCGCACTTACATGGCAGAAAGCATACAAACCGAAATAATCATGTTAAGTATTGCTTACATGCGTATTGCTTATATGCCTTCCGCACTTACATGACAAAAGCATACACACCGAAATAATCATGTTAAAGTATTGCCTACATGCCTTTCGCACTTACATGACAGAAAGCATACACACCGAAATAATCATGTTAATTATGGTCTGCATGCCTTTCGCACTTACATGACACAAAGCATACACACCGAAATAATCATGCTAAGTATGGTCTGCATGCCTTTCGCACTTACATGACAGAAGGCATAAACACCGAAATAATCACGTTAAGTATTGTCTACATGCCTTTCGCACCATAAACATGTTAAGTCCTCATTCGTGCTGGGGCGCAAAGAGAAGGGACGAAACCCCAGACCCCTTCTAGTAACCTTTATTGTGACCCTTAAAGCCCCTTATAGTAACCTCTATTGCAACCCTCAAAGCCCCTTATAGTAACCTCTATTGTAACCCTCCAAACCCCTTATAGTAACCTTTACTGTAACCCTTCAAGCCCCTTTATAGTAACCTTTATTGTAACCCTTAAAGCCCCTTATAGTAACCTTTAATGTAACCCTTAAAGCCCCTTATAGTCACCTTTATTGTAATCTTTGAGCAACCTTTATTGTGACCCTTAAAGCCCCTTATATTAACCTTTATTGTAACCCTTGAAGCCCCTTATAGTAACCTCTATTGTAACCCTCCAAGCCCCTTATAGTAACCTTTATTGTAACCCTTAAAGCCCCTTCTAGTAACCTTTATTGCAACCCTCAACGCCCCTGATTGTAACCTTTATTGTAACCCTTAAAGCCCCTTATAGTAACCTTTATTGCAACCCTTAACGCCCCTGATAGTAACCTTTATTTGTAACCCTTAAAGCCCCTTGTTAGTAACTTCTATTGTAACCCTTAAAGCCCCTTTATAGTAACCTCTATTGTAACCCTTAAAGCCCCGTATAGTGACCTTTAATGTAACCCTTAAAGCCCGCTTTTAGTAACTTCTATTGTAACCCTTAAAGCCCCTTATAGTAACCTCTATTGTACCCCTTGAAGCCCCTTATAGTAACCTCTATTGCCTCTATTGCAACCCTTAAAGCCCCTTGTTAGTAACCCTAAACCCTAAACCCTAAACCCTTAAAGCAACCCTGAGGCCTCCCGTCAGTAACACGAAACGAAGCACTGAGCCCCAAAGGTCTGTGCGACCCGCGTGGCTCAGACCTGAGGGGATCCTCCAGGAGTTCTGAAATACGGCCTTTTTTTTGGGTTCAGGGTTTAAGGTTTAGGGTTTAGGGTTTAGGGTTTAGGGTTTAGGGTTTAGGGTTTAGGGTTGAGGGTTGAGGGTTGATGATATAAGTCCTGCATCACCTTCAGGGTTCTAAGCTATGGGAGTTATGGTATACTCCATACAGTATCATGGGCAAAGCAGGATTTGTTTCATCAGCCGCAGTATCACTTTGGTTAAGTACTAGTTACTTGCATTATTTGGTTGAGTACTAGTTTCTAGTATTATCCTAGTTGGGTACTAGTGGGTTATTGCGGATTAGTGTGCTATCATGATGAGGTTTTTAACTCTTTCTTTTACTAGCCACTGTTATTGTGATCATTGTGACGTCAACCTTGTGGTTATGATTACGGCTGTTGGTATCACCATCGGGAATTTCCTGTCTTTTGCGGCCTTTGTCATTATATTATGCCACTTTGTGTTTAAAGCTGTTCTTCTCGGGATTTCTGTGCTTTCGATGTTGGGCTTGGAGGCTCCTAAACCCCTAAACCCTAAACCCTAAACCCTAAACCCTAAGCCGTACTTCATGGTTTGCATTGGGGTCTGGGACAGGCCGCAGCCTTTCGGCCCATTTTACATCGCACTCACATCCTCCAGAAATGAACCTGGGCCGGTCTTGAACATTTTTGAGGTTTAGTACGGTATAGTACATTTTACTATGCTACAGTATAGTCTAGTATAGTCCAACGTAGTACAGCATAGTACTGTATAGTTTAGCAAAAGCATAGTATATTGAAAAGAGCCGTTTCCGTTCGATCCTTAGAAAGCCTCCAAACGCAGCCAAGGAACTAGTCTTCGGGGCACGCCTCTCGAGCAGTTCCTCGTCTGCAGCTGGGATTCGGGTCTAAGACGCCGCCGAGATTGATAAACCCAAAACCCAAAGCCCTAAAGCCTAAACCCTAAACCCTAAACCCCCAAACCCTAAACCCAAAACCCCAAAACCCCTAAACCCCTAAACCCTAAACCCAAAGCCCTAAACCCCTAAACCCGGACCCTAAACCCCTAAACCCTGAATCCGAAATCCTAGGTCTTAGACTCTAAGGCGTAGGGTTGAGGATTCAGGGTTATCTCGGCGGCTTTGCAAGCAAGAGCCCTAAAATAGGTCAAGATACAGAAGCCTGAAGAAGTTTCTTGCGGTTGTTTACTCCGGTTTCTATATCTATCTTCGGAAACCTCAAGTCTGGCCCCACATATCAAAAACCAAACCATTCGCCTTCCTCTGACAGCAGGGCGACTGATGCAGCTAAGGCACCGCCATGATCGGTGACTGCAGCTTTGCTGGCACAGTTTGGGTTGATTACCCTTGAGGTTTATTATGGCTTAGATTGCAGTAGCAGTCATTCTAATGACCAAGCGCCAGGCCGTACTATGCCTACACTCCTCCCTCCTGGTATCTGTTGCTTTAGAGGGATTTACGTAACGTAGATTTCGTTAATTCGCTCAGCTTGATTCTGCAAGCCCCTTCAGTCGAGATCACCAGCTAGCCCACGCTTTCACGGGTTGCGGAACGTGAACCAACATTCTCTTTCGAGACAAGCCTCCACCATGCTTCTTGTTATGTGGGGGTTTCCGAAAATAGGGGACCCCAATGTAGTACCCTCAATAGTAGGATCCCTATTATAAGGGCCCCAAAATAAGGTACCCCTAATTTTCGGAAACTCCCATGTTCCTCGTGATGGCAGAGAAGCTGAGGTGAAGATGGACATGTTCCCCTCGCCAGCGGGCACTACGGAAAGCAGCTCGTTCAGGCCTGCCCATGAGAGCCTGCACAGCCCTGCAACACAAGTGCCAAAGCTCTGGTGAAGATGTGTTGTTAAAGCTTCATGACACACTGCTCCGTGGCCCTTCTTATGATTCTTATGCTTCTGGATAGCCCTTCTAGCCTCCAAATGTTGTCGGAGAAGCTGCCGTGCCAGGCATATCAAGCCTGCCAGGACGAGCTGTGGCTGCGGGATCCGTAGTTCGGTGAAGGTGGCTGTAAATTGCTAGCCTCTTGAGTATTCCGACTCCCCAAATTCTAAGCCCTGAGTCCAAAGCTCCTTAGATTCCTTCCGCACGATCTAAAGCCCTATTCTTGAAACCAATTATCACGCCCCTTACACCTGATGCCACGCCCCTTACACCTGATACCCCTAGACCCTTGCCAAGCCGACGAAGCCGTTTAGAACCCTTACGAGCGCTCATAAGCAGCTATAGAACTCCGAACCACTTAATACTAGTATGAAGATCTCAATAATTAGTAATCTCATCCCCTCATAGTGCCCATACAAGTATACAGAAGCATGTACCAATATTATTGTACAGAAAGCCTAACATCCCAACAAATTTATAGCCAAACCCCAGACCCTAAACCCTGCTTCAATTCCTGAGCCGAGAGGATGGCGGAGCGCTTCCTTCCAAACGGCCCGCGAATCAGCAGCGATGGGCAGAAGTTACGTTTTTCCAGAGGCTCAGCTGACATTTAGAGTCTTACGGTATTTGTCCTTTGGGTGTTGGGTTCTCAGGAAGTCAGTCAGGGTTTTCGGATTTTGGGCCTTTGGGTTGGCCCGTAGGATAGAGGGTTTAGGACTCGTTTAGCGGTTGCGAGGCTAGGATGACGAAACAAGGCTCTTTAGAATAGGGGCCTGGGTACGCTTTCCTATATTTATCATAAGGAACCCCCAAAACCCAATTCTAACTATTAAGGCCCCTATATTCGTCTACGGGTACCTGACATGAAGGATTCCACCAAGTAATGGGATGCACGAAGAGCATATACTCCCGGTGGCCCCCACACATCTGCGTATGAATTGTAAAACGCACACGTCAGTACATGTACAGAGCATTGTCAACACACAAGGAGCAGAAAAGACCAGAATGGAAGAATCTGTTCGTTTTTTCTGCTGTAGATGTTGCATGGCCTAGAAACCCTAAACCCTAAACCCTAAACCCTAAACCTTGCATGGCCTAGAAACTCACACCCAAAAGCCCTGAACTGCGAACACCACATCAGGCACGAGCATCTCCCAAGCTGAGGTTCGCATACTCGATGGTCAATACAGGAATGGGCTTGTGCATATTGCCACAAGAGGCAGATCGCCTTAACGAAGGGGCTGGGAGCCTATGGGCGCGGGACTGAGACAAGAGTGACAAGAGGTATGTGACAGCTTTAAGTTGTAATGCAGCTTCCTTTGTTCCAAGATGAGGTGGGCATTTATCTAGGTGCTCCTCGGCTGGCAGTGTGAGGATGTGGCTAACACCTAACAACTTCCCCAAACCCCTTCTCAGATTTCGGTCAGGTCTGTGGCGCTGCGCAGCTCGTGTGCCCACTTGTGCGGACCCCGGTCGGTATAGGACCAACCTGCCCGGTTCCCACTTCACCTGCAGGCCCATGCTGGGAATAAAAAATGTAATTTCATGGAGATACTGTGCGGAGACGTGTGGATTGGATGGGTCTAGCCGGCTCTACATGCTCAGATATTTTCACCCGAGGCCGGCAAGCTATCTGACAGACATGCAAGTAGCTTTGGGCGGCGCCGTGCTTTGGCTGCAGCCCTGATCGCCCTGCCCTGGACAATCTTTCGTGGCTTGAGGCAGAAGGCTCAAAGGCCGGGCTTCAGCGGCCCTATGTGCTCATGAATCTAATCTAAAGAAGCTTCAGCAACCGTTCAACATGCTTATTCGGCTAGTCCGCTTAGTTTCCATGCACAGAAGAGCTATAGTGCAAACCCCACAAGGACCTGATCTCGAGTACTGCCTGTACTGTTTACTGACCATCCAGGCAAGTTTCAGTTCTAAACGCCAACCTCAAAGCCTCTAAACAGATGTTAAGCCACTTGGAGGTTCAGGGGTAGTTATAAGTGGGGTTATAAGTAGGGCAACTATCACCCATATTAGGGGACTTATAACCCCACTTATAGCTACCCATGAACCTCCAAGTAGGGTCGCATCAGCTTCGGGGGGCTGCGGGCAATGCGTTCTCGAGCAGTAGGTTTACTTGGAGGTTCATGGGTAGTGATAAGTGAGTTTATAAGTAGGGTAACTGTACTTATAACCCATATTAGGGGACTTATAACTCCACTTATAGGTACCCATGAACCTCCAAGTAGGGTGCTCGGAGCTGTACACCCAACCCGACGGGCTGTTTTGAGTAGGGATTTAGGGGCTCTTTTCTTCTTTTTGTTTCATATATCCCCAGCCTCAATGCTGGAACGGTATTTCTAGCGTCAAGCGGTCTTCCCTTCATGGGATTGCGGCTGCGCTGATATTTCAGTTTAGAGTGGCCGCGACGTGTCGGTAGAGCAACATGTTTCAGCAATTTTTTGGCCAAGGTTCAAGGCTTAGGGGCTTCAGGGTGCAGGGTCTGTGCTTCGTGGGCAGCATCCTTCGTTGGAATCTTGGGGGCAGAATCCAAAACGATCAGTTTTTGGCAAGGCCCTTTTATCGTCGCCGGCAGCGTCTTGTCCATCATCGGGCTGGTCTTCCTGAGATTCTCGGATTGAAAATCCTCACAAGCATGGCTGTGTCTGACTTCCGGAGCTCCATACATGCCGTGCGGCAGGCAAGCATGAATGACCGATGCACTTCTGCTTCTTCGCTTTTCTACTTGGAGGTTCATGGGTAGTTATAAGTGGAGTTATAAATCCCCTAATATGGGTTATAATTATAGTTACCATAGTTATAATTCCACGTATAACTACCCATGAACCTCCAAGTATACCTAGATGGCTGACAGAGCTGCCGACTCTCCAAGGACAGGCCAGTATCTCCGGCTGGCCCCTCACGTACCTTGTAGCCTCTCGGCCCTTTAATGCCTCTCCGCCATCGCTCGAAGAGGAACAGGAAAGAGTAAGACCGAAGAAGGCGAACCGCCTGCAAGAATGGAGGATGGCAACTAAGGCACGTGGTTCCGCGCGTAGGGACCAGACCAGACGGCAAAACAATATCAGGAGCACCGTCGAACCTCCAACTCCTTCTTCGCATTCGCCACCGCCACCAGCACCGCTACCAGCAGCAGCATGATGATGATTTTCAATAGCATGAGTGACAAGACCAGCAACGATTTCGACCACGGTGACTGATGACGAACATGACGACAGCGAGGGCCACGTCGACGGCGACGACGAGGACGACGACGAGAAGGATTCCAACCACCAGCACGAGTACAAAGACAGCAACTACGGCACCTGTGGTGCCAACAACAAGAGCAGAAGAAACAAGAACATCACCATCAACCCCAGCAGCACCATCACCGCAATCACCACCACCACCGCCACCACCACCACCACCACCACCACCACCACCACCACCACCACCACCACCACTGCCATCACCACCACCATTGCCACCACACCTTTCACCACGATTTCCAGCAGCATCGGCAACAAGGACACCACGACACTATCAACACTAGTAGCAGTACGGGTCATCATCAAGAGCAACGAGAGTAATTAAGCCAGCGGCAGGACCGCTAGTAGCCATGATGTTGACAGAACCGGGAACGAACATTGAAGCTAAGTTCGGCGGTAATGACAGGTCACCAGAAAAGGCCACTGGTACAGAGAGCATATAAACTGCTATGGACCCATTGCTCCAGTTATACCGATCATAACGACAAATAGCAATGAGCAACCTGACAATAGGGCCAACAATGCTGTTCAAAACAATGGAACGGTAGTGTCAGTTATTCCTGAGACGGGCACAAATTCCTAAACTCACAGACAAGACGCCTCATTCACTCTTGCTTACGCTCCGCTCCAGGCACTGCTTGTGGCGCAGGTGTCCTTGCCCCTCGGATGCTGCACTGTCTTGCACGTTTGCGAACGATGTAGCCAGAACCCTTATAAAGGGCAGATCAAGCCTATAAAGCAGTGCCAAAGCTTGTACAAAAAGCTCTTAACAAATCACGGAGAAAATTCAGTGGTCTTTGGTAATTCAACTCCTTACTAAACGCCGCACAACCCGCGTACGTCCACGGATATTCTTTCAGAAACCCTAAACCCTAAAC